AAATATATACATTTTCTGCCTCCTTATCTTGAATTATGTGATCATTCTTAATGCATATTAATAGACTGAATCATGCACTGAAATAACGCACTCTAAATGCCTACGTGCACTAAGTTTATGTAACGTTAGTCGCTTATGCGGATGTGTGCACTCTGTAGGTGTGTTTTGTTTGGTGTTTGCAATATTCTCGATAATGTCATGAGTTCAGTATTTGCGCTAAACCTGTGCAGATTTGGCTTCCATGAACTTCCCCAAGAAATTAATGAGTGAACATAACTTACAAAAAGTAACCCGCCAAATTGGCTAGTGATTTGACAGCGGTAGCGGGAGTTAATTTCAAACCCTGCTTGTGACCAACACAAAATAACGTTTGTTTGGTTTTTGCAATATACTCGATAATGTCATGATGTCTCACGAGTTCAGTATTTGCACTAAACCTGCGCAGATATGGCTTGCATGAACTTCCCCATCAAATTAATGAGTGAACATAACTTACGAAAAGTACCCCGCCAAATTGGCTAGTGATTTGACAGCGTTACCCGCCACAGCTGATTTTTGCCCGCATTTGGCAGGTTGGCGGGTGTTAATTTCAAACCCTGTGTGTATATATATATATATATATATATATATATACACACACATATTTATATACACATTATAGGCCTAATAAATGTTCAATACAGGTTTCATCTATATATATATATATATATATATATATATACACACACCTTGCTACATGTACTGCGTTAGGCTAACCAAGACTTGTCATTTGCACTTATATATTGTTGCTCTTTTGTTAGTTTTGACTGCTTTTATTGTCATCATTTGTAAGTCGCTTTGGATAAAAGCGTCTGCTAAATGACTAAATGTAAATGTAAATGATTAAATTAAACAATTGCAAATAGCAGCTAACTTAATTCATGTGATGTGTGTACTGCTAGGCATCTTTGGTTTCCTAATTTTGTGTGATTTAGATGGAAAATGTGTGCTTTTTTATCGTTTGAGTCACTTATCAAAAGTTTCTAAAAGTTGCCAAATACATTTTAAAAATAGCTAAATTTGTTGCTAGGTGCTTTTGGAAGAAAAAGTTGCTAGGGAAGTGTGAAAAGTTGTTAAATTTAGCAACAAAATTGCTAAGTTGGCAACACTGATTAGTGGTCCTTTGAGCAAAATGCTGATGAATACGTAATTTGTCTTGCAGTATTTGATGGCTAGATCAGTAAAGGGCCTGAGTACTAGTGCATAATGGAAAAGATACTATCTAAAAAATAAGCATGAAAATAGATACTAGTACGGTTTATAGATTAAATGTTAATACGGCTTGCCATATTACGTCACGAACGTGTGAACACAGAGGAAGACCGCAATGGTGCGATTTGGGAGGGGAACAGAAAGTGAAAGTAGCCTACGTAGGATAGGATATACACCATTTCGCGGCATCGTCGCCATTTTATTCGTACTTGGTTGTTCACAATTACTTTCAATTACAGTAAAAGTAGTTTTTTTCTGTTTTGTAAACTGTATTTTCGACGGTTTTGATGTAAACTACCATCAGCGGATACGTGAGCGGATACATTTTCTTCTGTCTTACGGTAGGCTATGTTTGACACTCCTCATGATCGCAGCTCGATTTATATACATTTAAATATCTGAAAGTACACTCTTAACATCAGTCAGTCAAGCATTATAATATGATATTATGATAATCAAACATTATTTGATGATAGAACTTTAGTAATTAGAATTAAAACTTGGTAACCATGAATGCATATTTGTCATTTTAACTGAACTTAGGACTGGTGTTGGTGCTTAAGATATTATTGGTCATTCAGTGTAAAAAAAGGGGGGGAAAAAAACAACTAATAATAATACTAATAAGATCATAATACTACGAATTCTACTACTAATAACAATATAAAACGCACAAAGGATTAATGAGCTCCCATCGTTTACATGTAGCGCGTCAATTCTGCATGGTATGTAAGACTCTCTCACTCTCACTCTCTCTCTCTTTTTCTTTGCAAGTCGTGCACCTTCACAATAGAGTTTATGGTACATCAAATACAGGCACGCTGTGCATCCATTGAGATGAATAGTACAGATCGCTTGACGGAGAGTGAAACTCTAAAGCGCTCAGTCAGAGTGTTCGACGAGTGAAAATATAGCTGTGCTAAACGTATACTTAGCCTCCTCACTGGCGACTCACACACTGGCGAGTAAAATCTAAGAATTTATTAGCTTTTTTTTTGTCTTGCTTTTGGAGTGATCTTTGTTGGTCAACTACTGCTGGGGAGGGTAATATGGTCTTGAATTTCCTCCATTTGTACACAATCTGTCTGACAGAAGGTGCATGATTTGCAAATGTTGTTTCATAGGTATGTAATAGGTGCATTGCATTAAATGATTAATTTAAATGTTGAACATAGCATTTAAAGACATATAATATAAAGTGAGGCCAAAATAATACATTTAGCCTGAACTAGACTGTGGGGGAATCCCATCACAAATCTTTGTTTGCTAGGTGTTTCCCATATCATATCAAAAATGAAAGCAGCTCTAAATATAGCAAGATCCCTTTATGGTTTATGAACACTTTTAGTTTGTAAAAGTTTGTGTATGAATGCTTTTCAGCAGGGGCGCCGCTATGGTTTCTGGGCCCCCTGAACAGCATATTGAATCGGGCCGAGGAAAGGGGTTGGAGTCCCCTCAGTAGAAATCGCGTTCGGGCTATGAGTCAACGTATAATTCCCCCTAGCAACAACAACAAAAAAGGTCGCAGACTACGAAAAAGATCCTCTTTATAATTTTAATTTCATTTGAAATTGTATTTGCTGTAAGTAACTCATCTGATCTTTACCAAAAATATTTCCTATTTCGTGTACTTTTTAGCATATTTCTTAATAGAAAGTGCGTCAGAGTTTGTTTATAATTTTTAGTAGGCTAACATAGCCTATTTACACACAAACTGTATTACATCGATATTCCCTATCTGGCACAATCACTATTTCTTTCCTAACAGAATATTCAAATTCTAATATTAGACGAGACCAAGGTTTATGTGACAAGTAGGCCGAGACGGTAAATTCGTTTGTCATTTGTTTTATGGCAGGTAATTTCTATACTTTCACTTTCAAAAAATATTTAAGTGATAGCTATTCAAAAATATCTCTTTCATAGCACAATATTCTGTTTGGGGAATATATATTATATGTTATATAATAATTTCAAAACTTTGTTTATTTAAATCGATTTATTTCAACTACATAAACATATTTCAAGAATATAAATTATTTAAGAGTGTATCGAGATATCAAATACAGGCACGCTGTGCATCCATTGAGATGAATAGTACAGATCGCTTGACGGAGAGTGAAACTCTAAAGCGCTCAGTCAGAGTGTTCGACGAGTGAAAATATAGCTGTGCTAAACGTATACTTAGCCTCCTCACTGGCGACTCACACACTGGCGAGTAAAATCTAAGAATTTATTAGCTTTTTTTTTGTCTTGCTTTTGGAGTGATCTTTGTTGGTCAACTACTGCTGGGGAGGGTAATATGGTCTTGAATTTCCTCCATTTGTACACAATCTGTCTGACTGTGGATTTGTGGAGTCCACACTCTTTACAGATGGTTTTGTAACTTTTTCAGCCTGATGAGCAACAACAACTCTTTTTCTGAGGTACTCAGAGATCTCCTTTGTTCGTGGCATGATTCACTTCCACAAACATGATCAGATTTTGATAGATTCTGTGACGGATGGCCCAGTGGTCAGAGGAAATCATTTCGAACAAGCTGGACAGAGGTTCGGTGTATCCCATTAGGGTGGTTTATTTTAGCGAGAATTTATGTACATGGTCAGTAGGGTGGTCCTCAAATACAAAGTTAAGCTTTTCTAAAGTGCTTTTGCATTTTTTGATTCCCTCTTAGGGAAAATATAAATGCAGTAAAAATTAATGTGATTTGCATTTACCACTGCCACATGACCTCTGTTTCGTGCTGTGTCATGCTAATGTGAATTAATGTGGCAGTCTGGTTGCCAGTGTTCCTAGTACCATTTTATGCTGTGACACAACTGTTCTCCGATGAGCCGGTTGGGTCGATTATTGTGACATTATTGCTGTGAGTTCCTGTACAGTTCTTGATAATACAGAATTGTGTTTCATGTGATGTAATTTTGTACAGTACTACAATTAAGTCCCGACAAAAGATGAGCAGCAGTGCCTTATATCTACTCCAAGTGGTCGAGTAGCATCGTTGCCAATTTCCGTAAAGCGAAAAAGCAAAAGACTCAACAGTCAACCTTAGTCATTCACTCATAGGAGAACTGGGATTGTAGACATGCGAACAGTGAAAGTGAAAGGGACATGATGTGTAGCCAAGTATGGTGTCCGAGTATTCCATCCAAGTGCACACACACAGCAGTGAGTAGTGAACACACACACCATGAACACGCACCCGGAGCAGTTGGTCAGGGCCGGATTATCTATAGACAGGATTGGGCGGGTGCCCTGGGGCACCAGCCAATAGGGGGACACCAAGTGATTAAGATAATGACGAGACCTTTAAAATATTTTTCATGTTTTCTATATACAGGGCCTTGCGAAAAGATATTCATACCCCTTCATTTTTTTCACATTTTGTTAAGTTGCTGCTTTAAATTACTTTTTTCACACATCAATCTACACTCCATACACCATAATGGTAAAGCAAAAAACAGGTTTTTAACATCTTTGCAAATTTATTAAAAATAAAAAACTTAAAGGGGTCATATGATGCTTTTTTAAAGATCATTATTTTGTGTATTTGGTGTAACAGAATATGTTGACATGCTTTAATGTTAAAAAAAACACATTATTTTTCAAATACTGTACATTATTGTAGGTCCTCTATGCCCCGCCTCTCGCAAACACGTCGTTTTCAACAAAGCCCCTTCCTTTGACAAGCGCAGTCTGCTCTGATTGGCCAGCTGACCCAGTGCATTGTGATTGGCCGAACACCGCAAGCCTGCAGAGTACCATCCCAAAAGTAAAGTGTGCTGGTAGCAGCCTCATGCTGAGGGGCTGTTTTTAGCGGCAGGGACTGAGGAACTCGTCAGAGTAGAAGAAAAGCTTAATGCACCAAAATATTGAGTCTTAATGAAAATGAACAATGAACCTAAGCACACAGCAAGAGTGAAAGGTGCTTCAGCTAAATATTTAGTTAATGCAATGTACTTATTTCAGTTTTTTTATTTTTAATTAATTTACGAAGTTGTGAAAATTCTGTGTTTGCTTTGTCAATATGGTGTATGGAGTGTAGATTGATGTGGGAAAAAAAAGTACATTTAAGCAGCAATAACTAAACATAAGGCAGCAGCATAACAAAACGTGAAAAAAATGAAGAGATGCAGATAAAAAATTAACAGTTAACGATACAATATTTCTTCTAATGCGATGGCGCCGCAGACGGCAGCCTCAGTGTTTGACTCTCCAGTGTTTGTACTGTTTTTGTTAGTTTTTCCTGTTTTTTGTTTCTCAAACACGATCAGTTTTACCAGGGATGAGCTGCTGAACATTCGGCAGAACACGCCACACAATCTTCTACCGGATTTCGTTTATTCGGACGTTTTGCTGAACGTTGTAGTCGGCGGAGCTGCTGCGCTGATCAACGCCATTCCGGACAGCGCGTTGAGTCTCCCGGGCTTTCAGCTGTTCAGAGCGGACCGCGACGCAGAATCAACTGGGAAATCACGTGGTGGCGGGACATGTTTTTACATCAACGAAAGGTGGGGTACAGATGTTACAGCGTTAAAGAAGATATGCTGTTCCAATCTAGAAGCGCTTGCCCACCAGAGACAGTAATATACTGGACCATTGTTACTCCACAATAAAGGATGCATATCGCTCGATCCCCAGAGCAGCTGTTGGACTCTCTGACCACTGCCTGGTTCATCTTATACCAACTTACAGGCATACACTTAAATCTGCTAAACCTGTAGTAAAGACTGTAAAGAGATGGACCAACGAAACAGAGCAGGCATTGCAAGC